TTCATTTGCTTTATTTTAAAGTAAATCACTTTCAATTCACACTATTTACCTTCCGGGAAATGCAGGTATGCACCCCACACTACGTTGGTGTCACTCTTATTGCCAATGCCAGACACTGGACTTGTGTTTTTTACTCTTCTTTTATTTTATATACAAAGCATTTTAATGCAGCCTATATTAAAGCTAGCTATTTTATCATCATGATATTGATGTTCACAAATAATACGCACAAAAACACACAAAGACGCGAAAGGACGAGCTAAGAAAGCAATCAGGAGCACTGTGGGGCTGTCTACAGCTAAGGTGAACGATTATGGGCAGTACCAGCGCACAAACTCACGGGACGACGAGAAGAGACACAAACAAGCGCAATGCTTGTTTGCAGCACTTGTTTGTGTCTCTTCTCTTCGTCCCGTGAGTTTTTGCGCTGGTACTGCCCATAATGTATCACCAACTAGCCCAACTATCAGTCCTGCGAAGGTGAACGATTGGTTACTTTTCAAGACGTCATCCCAGCTGATGTTCAATACATAATTAAGAAAAGTTATTGTGTTTTAGAAGCCATACATGTGTAGCAGACGTGAAGTAGGATTAACCAGTTATACCAGCTTGAATACAGCTCAGGGGTTCACCGTAGATACGGAGTGCACATATAATATTCGGTCCATGAAAACACCCCTATGGGTAGAGTCCAGTACACATAGGATGATCTCATAAGTTACCTCGGGCAGAGTCCGTACAGACATTTTTACGCTTCGTCTTCTCATCTGTACACTATCCTGCTTGGGTTTGGGCGGTGGGGCTCATACTCTAGACCAGCCTGGGCCCACGGGGCAGTTTTATGCCCCCCAATACGAGAACGCAACCCTTCCTCCCTTGAAATTTCCTTTCAGAAGGCGGCCATGCCTGTTTCGACCTCAAATATGGTTTGTAAATTGCAACCTTGTGACACGCATGCCGGAAATAAAGTAAATCTTATTCAAGGTTTTTACATTATGGTCCATACGCAATTTTTTTCTACTTGCCTGCAAAGCACCCAGCCTTCCCAATTTGCTGTGCGGCCCCTGCTCTGTCCACTTCTTGCGAACTTGGCTTTCCACCTGAAAAGGTTGCTCACACCTGCTCTATAGAATATAAAGAAGAATCTTGAGGATCAATCCCCGAGAGTGGGCATGTGCCCAAATTTTTCAGGCAGTAAACAAAACGTTCCCTCAAAGTATATGCCCATTCACTACATAACATGATGAAATGAAGGAACAATGCATATTACCGACACTTAATTGAACGTGTGTCCATTGAAAACTCGTAAAGAAGTTGCTTTCGTTTTTTTTTTACACATTAGCCGTATGATGTTTCTGCCTTAAACATTGCAGCTCCTGGGCGACGTCACCGCCGAACTGCGCAGCCGTCACGTGCAACCAGGACGTCTGCCCAGCAAAGCAGTGCGCTTGCGGAACCTACAAGGACCAGTGCGGCTGCTGTGACATCTGCTACAAGGTGTGTATGATAGCATGGATAAGAAAATAGAGGCAAGGCGAGTTTGCTTATATGTCGGAACCACTAACTACGTCCATGCGCTAACTCAATACCCCTTGTCCTGTGTGGTTGTTCTTGTTCGCTGTCGTCGTGGGGTTTTTCGGTGGTTTTTTATTCCTATTACTATGAACCAACTCACCCAGAAAGCTACGTTACTGAACTTTATAGTTTCAAGAATCACCTTTGGTGTTGCTTGTAACAACGTAAGCATTGCTATGTTAAGCACATGTGTGTGGAGGAGCGATAAAATCAGAGCATTGCACAATGTGAAAGATCAAGCACACCATGCAAGCGCCCCCAGGTACGAGAAAGGAAGTTTTTAGACGCCAAACATGAGGCGGACACGTCTAGTGCTAGCCTGCAACAATATTTATGTGCCCCCAAACATGTTTATGTGACCGCAGATAAACGAGATTTAAATGGAAAGAAGCTGCGCTCCGTCATGGTATATGAATTTAAAAAGTAGACCACTACTCGTAACGCTAACACACTGGTTTTCAAACTTCTTCGAGCACAGTCACGCCCAACATATATGAGTTGCAAGATCCCCCCCGTGGTCAAAGCAGTGCCAACACTAAACGATGGTACCGACAAACAATCAGTGACGTTTCCTCTGCTTAACAACCATTTTCACGTTAGTCGGTGTTGGCCCCTTCAGCCACCGCCTTGCAACTCACACTGAGCGCCGTAGCTACCTTGCTTTGTATGCGAGAATCTTTGTGGTATTGCGCGCATGCCAGAAGGCTGGCGAATCAAATCATCCGAATATCCAACTGTGTGCTTCTCTGCGTCTTGTCTGTGGTCCGCACCATCTCTTGCGCTCGAAAAATTCCTGCCACCTCTACTCTTTCACTTTCTCGAATCAGAAAAACACGGAGAGGTAGGAAAGGCAGGGATAGGTCATTCTACCCAATTTCGTGTCATAATTTTGTAATATGCAATAATCCTTGAAAATTCACAAAAAGAAGTTCAAAATCTAGTGTATTTTGTCGAGCACATAATTTACAATAAAATTTTACACACGAGCAGCTTGGGAGCCGTGCCGCAACATGAAGTTAGCGAGGCGAGCGTGTGCATTCCGGCGGACGATATTGTTCCGTGGTCGTAAGGTCGAGGCCATTTGGCCATCTTCGCACTAAAATCGAACGATCTGCAACTTCAGTAGAAGACGACGGCTTTGCTCCTTTCACCTCACCACGTCACACACGCCATGGTAAAATGACGGTCGCCGGTGGGGGTTACGGTCGAGACTCCTATGGCTTGTTCTCCACGGAAATCTCTCTTTTTTTACGGCCCACTTTTCGTATCTTCATAGGCGTAATAGACAAACATACTTCTTGTTTTTGCTGAAAACCACGAATTTTGGGGTGACCGTGTCGTGGGCTATTTAACCAGTTTGGAATAGGTAGTTGCCGATGTGTAATAACTGCTTCTCCTTTGTCCAAGTTAGGGTGCTGAAGGGGTATAATAATAAATAATAATAATAATAATAATAATAATAATAATAATAATAATAATAATAATAATAATAATAATAATAATAATAATAATAATAATAATAATAATAATGACGACGACGACGACGATGAAGATGACGTTCATCAGCAAAAGAACAAACCGGGAGTTAAGATCTTTAATGGTAGAGCCCTATGGAGCTGAAGAGGTGAAGATAGACATTGGAACTTTAGACCCAAAATAAAACATAGCTAATACATGAAAATGCCAAATGAGTACACAGCCAGAATGTCACATGAGATGAATTACGGATATAATGACTTGTTCGGAACAAGTAATATAACTAAATAAATAGACGTACACTATAACGTGGTTGTCTTCTTGTTTCATCTCTGTAATAAAACAGCGCAGAGCGGACATGTATGTGGCTACTCCTAGTGCACTGCTACCAAATGCGAAATTACTGCGTTATACGTTATCATTAGAGTAGGGCCGCTCTAACTGTATTTTGATAACTATTTTGAAGGCATGTGCCTGATTTACTGGCGCGTTATTCCGTGTTCGCACGAACGTGAGTGCTCATTCCGCTTTCCATTCTCTCGCACAGTGTCCAGGTGACCACTGCAACTCGTGGATCTTCGACCGCTGCACCGAAGGCCACCGATGCGTGCTCGAAGACCCTTCCAAGCGCTTCGAGCACGGCGGACAAGGACGCTGCACGCCTGAGGACTCCACATCGTAATTGTGAAGCGTGCATAGAGGGATTCGAACCGTGACCATCCTCGATTACGGACGAAAAAATAAAGATGTGAATACAGAGCTAATAAAGAATAGCGATAGTAAGATAATTACTCAATCGTATGAGGCTCCAACAACTCACCGAGCTTACCAGCACGTAATTACTACATTATCGTGGAAGACTCGTTCCGATTTCTTTCCTTGTGTGTGTGTCTGCCCGCCAATGTCCTTTGACATGCATGTGTACTAACTAGCTCCACTCTCTGTAGTTCTACTTCACTTGTTTAGGTGAAGGACCCGTTAAAGTTATCTAATTGCTAACTAGCAATCTGATCAAACGTAGCGAAATTTTGTGGACCAAATGTATATATACCACAGTGCACAGGATGCCTGTTTTCCACAAGAGTCCCTACCCGGTTATCGGCAAGAACTTCCCGACTTTCTTTCTGCGTGCACAGCAACCAAAGCAAGACGCTCCGTCCGGTGGATCTCACAGCGCGACTAAACGAAAGGTGCACCGTATTTCTTTTTGTTTGTCTCTCCTTTTATGGGCAGTTTCTGCATTCAGCTGAACAGGCTTTCCTCCATCGTCGCTATCAGCAGAGGCGGCAACCAAACTTCTTTTTCTGCCATATATAAGGTCACTTGCTCAAAACGTGCAGAAAGCAAGGCAGATCTTCCAGTTGCCGTTGTGAGAGGATAAACCATCGTCGCTTCTTCTTGGGTGAGTTGGTTTTTTATACAGTGAGGAACTACCAGCGCTAACAGGCACCGCCGACAGAAACGACACGTACAATGTAGCGCTGTGCGTACAGGCGCCGTTCCTGTCGTGGGTGTCTGTTCACGGTGGTGTTTTCTTGCTCCGCGGTCAGAGTGCTTCATATGTTCAGCATCGCATAAGAAAATATTGTGGTGTATTTTATTGATGAATACTCGTAATATGCTAACAGTTATTTGTAATTTTTTTTGTCGCGAATAACGTTTTACTCGCATGACGCCTCTACAAGCATCATGTCAATAAAAGGCGCCACACCTTGGCCGACATGACGCCGAGACGTCACATCTGGCAAGGAATCACGTCAACAGATGTAACGTAGCTTGATAGAAGACGTGAATAGCAAGTAGGGGTAGCACAATGCGAACTACGTGACGGGTGGGGGATCGGAGTTAAAGCTTTCCGCGTATCACAAAGGGTTGCGCCGTATATTGTTTCTCATTAGCAAGTCCACATAGTGCCTTACAGGTGTTTAGTGGGTACCTCGCTTTTCCGCAGAGTAAGGGGTATTCACGGCTGTGCAAAATTATTACTACTTGTGGCGTAGCGCGTTATCTTGCAAGTGTACTAGTAATCTAGCAGCAGTTATTCTCAGATAGTTTACAACATTCTCTAGAAAGGCCACTATACTTCAGCTTTGATGTTCTTGCAGTGAGAAGATGAAGGTCGCCTTTGTATCCGTATTCCTCATCGTCGCCCTCGCCTGCAGGTAAGATATGTGCAGTGCAGCCACACCCCAAGTGAGCTAACTAACCCTCAACCAATGCTTACTAGCAAGTCCAGTTTGCTGCACGATGAAAACTTTCGGTAACATTCCTTAAATGAAAAAAGTTGCACCGGTCACAAACGCTTAGCCTCATATATGAACCATACCTCAACAATGCGCCATTGAATTATAAAGAGCAGCCACAGAAACGTAATGCGATAATCCAACGTGTCTAGCTCTCTTAGTAAGCAGAACGTGTTTTCTAAAGCCACACGGCCCATTATGCATTTCCTTGAGACAACCCGACGCCAAAAGAAGTTTTTGTTTCTTACTCGAATGTATTGACCTGCTTTTCTGAAAGCTCTCTGGACCGCGAAGTATTTCCTCACTGCCTCCGGCATTGGCCCATCTTTTGCCAAACAATCATGACATACGATGACGTCGACATTTGTTGTCATAGTGACGATGACGTCCCATATATAAAAATCCTGTGACGTCACGATGAGGTGCATCATTACACGATGACTTTTTCCATCTCTACGGCCAGTTTTCACGTTTGATGGGGCATCTAAGGCTTTTCCATGTTAGGAAACTTCTGTGAATTGAAATCAAGAGTGTAGCGGACGTGAATACGGGGCACGTGGTATAAAGAACCTGACCATCTTAGCAAGCGCTTCGGAACAAACACAAAAGAAAGAGACACGTGAGCAGAGATGGCGCTAGTTTACTTAAACGTACGTATGCATAGAATGCTTGCTTAACCAGCGCTGTATCCTGCAATGTGCACCCTTGCCCGTGTCTACTTCATGTGTCTACTTCATGCTGTTTTAAACTATGATGCCCTTGTGTCTATTGTTTAGTGTTCACGTGTCTCCTCCTCCGGTTCCGTTGTACTTGCTAAAATGCACAAGCTCTGCATCTACAAACTAGCCCGAATTTCGGCGTTGCATACAAGCAACTTAGCTGTGACTTGGAGACCAATCACACGGTGGAGAGGGGTTTTTACTTTTTGTTCTGCGTTTCTGCTTATTCAAAATTATTTACTCTTGAATAATACAAACTTGGATCATAATATTGAGAATGTTCTATTGGGCGACAAATTGGGTACTAAAATTATGCAGCGTGGCTACTCCTGGTTGCATTTAGCTTGAGCTTTGGCTCCTCGTCGAATCTTCCCAACGACAACCCTGTTTGCTCTCCGCCACATGGCATTGTTGTCCACTTAATCAGTCCCCCTGCCTCAAATCCACTAGAATCTAACAATTGACCATGAACTCTGTTGCTTTTATTTCGGAACTGTTCTTGTTACAGGCTATAGAAAGCTGCAATAATAAATGGAAAGACATTAGTCTATTACTCGTTAAAACAAGCATGGAATAAAACTTATCAGCTGCAGATGCTTTGACTCAACCCCGGCTGATATACAGTTCAACTCAGCTTGGTAGGTAATGCGTGCAGTAGAAACCATGGCACCTACGGTGGTCTCGTTCAATATCACGTACCAACTTTCCACTTTTCAGAGTGGCTCTATCTCGAGCTGGTCGAGCAAGGTGGAAGCCTCAGGGGTAGTGACACTTCTTCAGAAGTTCATCATCGGAGCCTTGTGGACTTGTTCACGGCGTAATTTTTGTCAACCCGGCCTCATCAAGTGAAGCCGACGGGACGGCTCTAGGCTCTCCCGTAGTAGAGTGCCAAGTACTACACTAAATCGTCAAACGCTTTTTCTAACACAGCCCCTCCAACACGGGACCGCTTATTGCTCTCCCATGTGAGAGTACATCGTGTTCTAAGTCGTCGAAAAATTTTTTTTTCCAAACAAGAAAGCTATAAGGTATGAGCAAGCCCTGCGCTTCTTCAGGAAGACATATTTCTTTTTGCGATTCTGTTACAACTTCAGAAGATTTAGACAGATGCGTTTATTTGGCACGTGCTACGACCCAGAAATTAGTGATACGCTGATCGCGACTGGCATATATGTAAGTCATGAGCATTTAATCATAGTGTCGGTAACTCTGATGCCGTAACAATATGGATGCACCCATACAAACGCAAACGCCCTCCATGGTGGTCTAGTGGTTATGGAGTGATGACCCGCTGGTCACGGGATCAAATCCCGGGCTCCACAGAAGCGTTTTTGATGGGGGTGGAAATCATCGAGTCCCGTGTGCTCACATTTAGGCGCTCGTCAAAGAAACACCGGTGGTCAATATTTCCGAAGCTCTCCGCTAGTGCGTCTTTCGTAACCATATCTTGGTTTTCGGACGTAAACCCCAACAGTTATTATTATGCAGTTTTTGATGACCCTCTTTTATCATAAAATTGAGCTCACCCCGTGGTTAATGCCCAAACAGGAATGAACTGAAGGGGTCCCTTGTGTATTGACCAAAGATGACTTGAAAGCCAAGTTCTATTTCACCTCAGTCGATCTAAAACGGTGGTCTTCAATAGGGTAAAGGTGCGTTGGCTAGCGAGACTGCGCGAGCGGAAAGCACTACGCTTTCACGCTTTCGAGGCACACACTGCGAAATTCAGTGCTCGCAATCCAGAATTTGGACGCACCACAATATACACCGGACTGTCAAGTACAAAGCGAGGCCTCGGATTCTGACGAAGTCCGGTACCACGGCCGAAACGTTAAAACGCCATTCTATAGTTTAGATGTGCGTCTTTTTATTCTTGATATGGCGTCCAAGAATCGGCTTTCTGTAATTGTGTGTGCATGTGCGTGCGCGTGCATTCCGGTCTTTTGCAAGCACGAGCAAGGTACCGGAAGAAATGTCGTTCAAACAACTCCCAGTGAAGTTGAAGCTTATCGATGGAGGCAGAATGCTAGAGGCCCGTGAACTTAATATAGGCGCACACTAAAGAGCCCTAGGTGGCGCAAATATTCGAAGCCTTCAATACGGCCGCCTTCATAAATGTGTCCTAGTTTTGGCACGCAGCACCTGACACCTCATCGTTACTATATATAGGATGAACTTTATTCATCTGTGAAGTATGAACAAGTTAACACGAAAGTACTCTCAGAGCTTCGTGGGACGTAAGTGCACATGTGACGTAAGTGTGCTGTATAAATGTCACGTTCTCTTTTCCAGTGTGTCTGCGACGTCGCCTCCACAGTGTGCAGGCGTAGTGTGCGACCCATCAACATGTGAGGTGCTGGAATGTAGCTGCGGAACCTACAAGGGATACTGCGGCTGCTGCGACTACTGCCATGCAGTAAGCTCACGAGAAAAACGCAGACCAACAAATGCTCATTCACTATTGCGACATGCACTGGCAGGAGATTATATACATAATTACGACTGGCGACAAAAAGGCGACTCAAAGCGACCAGTGTTCACACGGGCGTACGTCTTTACACCCGTTGACACAAAGGATTAACGTCTGTTCGTATTGCTATTGTCACGCAAAATGATATGACGTTCTTTTTTCTGCGCATCCACCTTGGTTCAGAACTTTGCAACTGCAGTCACCCTACTGGAAAACAGAGCAGTGAGCGGCTGAGTCACGGCAATCGCTTCGCGGCTAAGGCGGCTATTTGCAACTAACCTGGTCGCGCGACCATTTCTAGTCGCAAGTGTGAACGAGCCTTAACTCAAGAGTTAATCACAAAATATGCAAAGTACAATGTGCCAAAGGCCGCCGTGGAAAAATATCATTAAAAACTCAGCTTGCAGAGCCCCAACGGCAGTGAGCATAGCAGAAAACACAAAGTGCACTGTAGTGCTGCTTAAATTTTCGTTCATTAAAATATGTCTGTCAACAAAAAACACATAATACATGTCCCTCGCGCATTATCCTAAGACAGTGTAAAGACGAAGGCCGTATTCTTTTTCTTCTAAGTCGATCCACTGAACTTCCCACACCCTCCAACAGCTTTCCGCAACTAACGTGAATTTGCAGTGCCTCCGAGATAGGAGGCAATGTAAGCTACGTACACCTCTCCTGATTTGCGCTGCCTCAGCAATCGACCCACCCTCCACCAAGGCAAGACGTCGCGTAATGAATTCACCATGGTCACGGCGATACGTCATGATGATGTCACTATTGTTGACTATCTGTGACGTCAAGATGAGACCATGTAGTGGCGTCATCATGTGCATCTTTCGTGCCACCGACACCAGCCAATTTTCGCGTTCGTCATGAGGCATGCAAGGCTCACACGCTTCCTTCCCCTCAGACGACTCGAAGGCGAAAGCCACCTTCCTGTTCTCCGTGTTCTTCCCATTTTGTTGTCTTCATGCATTCATTCACGAAATGTAGTAAATGTTACTTGATTAAGCAGATCAATGAACTAGTCACTGGTGTTCTAAACATCGAGAGCTCTGATGCTGCACAAACAAACGCCTCATAAAGTGACGAGTCGACAACAAAGTTAGGTCATAAGGTCTTCCACATTGAAGTCGCCGATAAGGGATTCCTGCTTGTAGGTGTTTCATATAGTGCAGCCACAATCATATCCCTCTATGCCTTTTTTCCGGTCTCACATTCACGCACCTCCCCACGACAGCCATGTGTGTCTATATGTGCTTTCATTTTGTCCTGTGTTTTACGTGCGCTACAAGGAGCCTAATTGAAGATCAATGCGAGTGTCAATTTCTCCAACAGTGTCCCAACGAAGAGTGCAACAGCTTGTTCACGGACCCTTGTTCGGAGGGCTACCACTGCGTCCTGGACAATCCTGGGCGACGCTTTGAGAACGGAGGCACCGGCCACTGCAAGCCGAAGCCACAAGCTACTGCCCAGAGCTAGGCAGTTGCGAAGAGCTGCCCATTGAATTCCCTTTTTAAAAGGATGCCGATGGCAAATAACCATTTCTCTCTGAGTGAAAGGCCAATTCTTAAAAACATCTAGATCATAAATATCACACGCAGCAGCCATTTACCTGTTGAGAAATCAAGGTAAATGAAGGAGGCTATTCGCGTCGCCAACGTTACATTCTGGAACAAGGCCGATGACGTAGTAGAGTCTCAGGACAATTAGCACAACTCAACCAACTGATACTAGAAAAAAATGTTTCACGGCATTTTAATGCGGAATAAAAATACAACTACTGCGCTGGAGTTTGATTCATGCAAAAAGAAATGAACTTCTTGGGGTGGGCCAGAAGTTCTGTTTTCACCAGGCTGCGCTCAGCTCTGCTTATTAAGACATTTGCTCCACATTCCACGGCCCTGCACCGCCGACTATCGGGCTGTAAAGTGACTAAAGGGTGTGCATGGCCACGCCATAACGCCTTTCTCGGAGGTTGGAATTGTGCTCACGGTATGTGAACAACGGAAAGATGTTTTTCTTTCAAACTGAGCATTTATTTCGCACGAAACAACCGCTACAAAGTTTTTGGAAGGCTCATTCTGCAGTCAATGCATCGACTTGTTATTTGACGTCTCAAAAACGAAGCTACAGCTTTGTTTTTGCGACGTTGCTCTCGTAACTGTGCTCACATTAACGTAATGGTGCCGTCGCCTATGTGTCATCTCTTTTCGTGTGTGCTAACTATAGCAGTCGATCAGCGAATACACGAACCTCCGCTGAAACACACATCTGGTTACAAACTGCGAATATACCTCCAAAGCTGATAAAATGAAGCTTCAAAATGTTACTTCGCTGATTCCGAGGCAGCTCATTCATCGCACTAAAAAAGAAAGTGCTGCTCAAAACTTGAATTTCTTGATTTACGACCACCTTGCAACATCTATCTATGCGACGTCACTCATATTGAAGAACACAGTTATAGATATATTGCTGTTATTTAAGGGTTATGTTTAGGAAGACCGATGAGCCAATTAATTTGCACTAACAAAACATTCTTTCAAAACATCAGTGTTCATGTGGTAAAACACGTTGATCGCTAGAACAGCGAATATCACTCCAAGTTTCGCTTCAGTTTGCGCTGAAGCATTGACACCGGTAGGTCAGTATGACGTCCCACATTTTGATGGATTGTTGCCACTGTTGTGATATGAAATTAATAAACATTGCCAAGTTTTATTCTTTATTTGCCCTGTAACGTAAAGCCCGTACTCTTATAAGGAATTGACTAGGCCCGAGCTTATGTCAGTATCATTAACGGCATGAGGAGCTTTTTCTCCCTAATTGACGAGCCCTTTCTCACACTAAGAGCGCCATTCGCTGGTATTGTCGAAGTGTACTGTATACAGATAAAACTGAAATTAAAATTTTGCTCCTTGGGCTCATCCTAAAGTAGATGACACGATGCTTCAAAAGCGAACAATGAAGATGTTGCCTCAAACACGACTTCGTTTCATCACTACTGAATTCGCCCGATTTCTTTCTCTCTTTTTTTTTTTGCTAACTAATGACAGCAATTTAAGCTCCTTAACGCATCTCATTGGCTCATTTTTGGTAGTCTTCATAACGCTATTACAGCGAAATGCAACCGTCGCTGTATATTCTAAGCATAAAAAAAAGTAATTGTCAATTTGGCGCCAAAGTTGTGCCGATTTAAAGAAAAATGCCTTCAGACACCAGCTGCGCGTGAGAGGGAGATAATGCAGTTGTCGGCACTTATGGAAAACGCTTTCGTCGCTGCAGAGATGGCATGACAGCTCTCTGGCTGAACGATTGCACATGGTGAAAATAAATTCCTAGTCTCGCGTGAACGCTCAGTCAGCTGAGGCACGGGTCAGCCGTGCGCTCTTGCCGCTTGCAAAGCGTTAAAAGCGGCGTCCGTGAAAATGCACGGCAAAACATCCACGCCTATCGCATTCGACTCTCATTCGTCTGCGTGAGGAACACTCGGTTTCGTTTTGTTTTTCAGTGCAGCAAAACGTCTGAGCCCATGCGCTGCGGGCCAACCGCTTCACCAAGCTTCCTCCTTCTTATCTCGTCAAGCACTACACGTGGCATTATTCAAGTTTATCGAAAAACTATCGGTCGATCTCAGACGAAATAATAAGTCGGCTTGTTTGATTACGCTCGTGTTCATATCGACCGCGAAAGAGAGAAAAAGAACTTTATTGATAAGGGCACAGGTTGACGAGCCCAAGTCTCCATTGGCTACTGCCTGAAATGACCAAGTCAGAGCTGTGCTTCCCATTTTTAAATGCATACAAGTTTCGTGGTCGGTTTAGGCATCCCCACAAAACGTGACAGCGATACGGCAAGCTGCCAGAATACGGGCACGCGTGTACGTACAGCGTTTGAAAAAAAAAAAAGGGAATAGTTTTAATCGTTGTAAGGTGGTGAAGACCCTCGTTTCAATCCTGACGAGGTCGATGGCATCGTGCCCATCTAGAAAGCCTGTGAAAAAACACTTTGAAGCCTGTTAAAAATAAATATGCAAAATTATGTACGGCTCACTATGCGTATCGCAGTAGACTGCTGCTTTTCCGCCAGCATGTTTCAGCAAGTTATCGCTGAGAAACACAAACTGACACCGGAGACGAGGTGTCCAGTTAGGCACACACACTTTGACTGGGGCAAGCCAGACATGCGAGCTGCTCCGTTCTTATCAGTCATTCATCCTGCGGGCACATCCTTAAAGTGTCAGCTGATCCAAAGAGAAGTCATCCTTAGTTCGTCGGTGTGTCGTTATTATCCGATACATCGACTAAACTTCCGTTTTAGGGGTGAAGCTCCTTCAGCGGCACCCGTTCGTCTCTCGCAGTCGTACTAGTAGTGTGTAACCAGTCTAACATTTTGACCTCCAAGGTGGAGCCGGAGGGAGATTTCTTCTGTGCGTTGTTGAACAATAAAAAATTCGCAGCGTGCGCGTTAACTAAAAGCCAAATTCTCCTGTCTCTAATTCCCAATTAGCAGCCATTGGCATGTACATTGAGCACTATCTGACAAGAAAGGGTTGCTACGTTATACTCGCTGGGCATAACCTCCTTGGTTTTAGGAAGGTTTAGGGAGCGTTGGGCCGCGATGCCATGAAGACAGTGAATTAGTATATACCATGAACTCGAGGTGGGTTAAAGATGGGAAGTCGACACGAAGCGCAAGCCGTAAGAAAGTGTGCGTGTGCTTCCTCTCGTTCAGTCCTTGGAATGTCCGCTGGATGGCGGTGCTTCTATATGAGGAATATATGATGAAAAGATGCGAGATGGTGGTACTTGGAGTGTTGAATAGGTGGACGAACGGACACACAGACAGATGAATGGACGGACGCACGGATGGCTGCACGGACGGATGGACGCATGGACGGATGCACAGATGGACGCGCGGACGCACGAACAGATGCACGCACAGGTGGGCGGATGGACGCACGGGCGGCCACACAGACGCACGCATGGACGGACGGAAGCAAGAACGAATGGACGGACGGATGCTTCACCCCACTCTCCATCATTCACTCCGTGGATATGCTGCCATTTTTTTCTGCATCCCAACAATATATCAGGGCAGCTCCAAAAGACTGTTCCCAGCCGAGTGCCACTTGGAAGTAAATTATCGCGCGGGCGTTCACCAAATAGTGCTACAGCGCCACGGCCCAGAATACTTTTACAGCGAAAGCAGTCATCAGCTCAGAACACAGATCATGCGCGCCACCGTAGCTGTCCACATCCGCCGGCATCCGTAACCAGTATAGAAAGAAGGAAAAAACTCAGTGAATAAAAAACACCAATGACACAAGGGGATTCCAAACCGGGTCCACTGTGTGCCAGCCCAGTACTCTGCCACTGAGCCGCACCAGTGCTTGCAACTCGTTTTTGAAGTGCCCTTGGACAGGCCTGATCTCGGGAAAGGAATCGCGGTAATATGAGCAATAAAGCGCTTTAGAACATTAAAGGAACAGCCAGGCGCCACACAATGTGAATTGCGTAACGTGTGGGTCGTTCAATGCTTCAACCCCTTACAAAATTTCGTTTTTTATCACCCATTAACTGTGGCGCATACCCATTTCAGACCTAATTCTTCATCGTCGTCAGCGAATGCACGAAAAAATGACACAAAATGCTTTGCAAGTGCGTAGCGGATACCATGCTTCTCTGAAGAATGACGAAGAATGCTGGGCTACCACACAGAACTTGAGGTGGTTATATTCAACTTGACTTCACTGGAGCCAGTCCAGAAAGCTCGAAGTTTTAATTACTAAATTTCGATGTCGTGCCCCTCCCCCCCCCCCCCCCCCCCCATGAACCTGTATCTATACACAGAGCTGGTCAGACAACATCACTCCTCTGCGCATTCTACGGAGAAATGGAATCACTAGAACATTATTTTTTGTATTGTCGCCGCTACGCTATACTTCGAAAAAGGTTACTAGTTATTCCATTTCTGAAAATAGGCGTTAGATAGACGATGGAAACTGCGCTAAGCTTTGGTGCCTCAGTTTTGGGACATTGCCACAGGAATGCTTTCCTGCTGTTTGCGATTATATTCAGGCAACCAAGCGTATACCTTTGTTATCTTCAAACAAATAATAATTTATTACTCCCCATGACAAAGTGAAGTTAACGCAGCTGAGTGGTAATCACAACACCTGAAATCTCAAAATTGCTCAACTTGACTTTTCTATTTTTTTCTCGTTTGCTCTCTTTTTATGCGGTTTTCTTTACATTAGGCATATTACAATACAAATTCATTACACGTAGTTAAAAGGATCACAGAAAAACTGCACTACTCTTTCTTGGCCAATCCCTCTGAGTGGGTATGAGCCATCATCTCAAAAAAAACAAACAAACAAATACCACACAGAAATTATGATAATTTATGGCGTAGTGGGTACCCAACTAGCGTGCTCGTAGCAGTTACCCAATGAGTGTTCAGCAAAGGCTCTGAATTGCCGCTCTTTCAGCTTTCTTTGTGACTGTGCTACCCGTTCCGCGCGCGCCTGGCGGTTTTTTTTTTTTTTACTTGATAGCAACACTCACTGCTGGATTTTGTCGCCGGCGTCGACATCGGCGTGGGCGTTGCCATCACTCCTCATATATGTCATCATCATCAGCCTTACTGCGCCCACTGCAGGGCAAAGGCCTTTCCCATGATCTGTCAAACAACCCGGTCTTGTGCTTTCCGTTGCCACGTTATACCCGCAAACTTCTTAATCTCAGTCACCTTCGAGGCTGACTCACTAAGAATCTGGTTCACTATTTCTATTTCAGCCTGACTCCCTCGGGCTCAAAACTCATTAGAAGATTACTCACTCGGATTCAACGAGACGCACACTCACAGCTCGATCTGAGCCTGAGTGAGCCCGCTCCTGAGTCCATTAGCGTATACGAGGCTTTTTTAACTGTCAACGCCTTTTAAGGGGGCCCTGAAACACTTTTTCAAGTAACCATGGAATGAATTCACTGAAAGAGCTTATTGCCTCACGAATTTAACGTCGCGAAAATTTTAAGAATCCGTCGAGTGCGAGTGCAGTTACAAAGGTTTCTCGCACGCTGCAATTGCATTCTCTCTTCCCCCGCCCCGACGAAAGCGCTGGAAGCTAAACGGGGGGAGGGGGGGGGGGGCAAGGCCACAGAAAAACGTCAGGCGCGCTTCGCGACCTTGAGCACTTTTTTTTTTTTTTCGAATGCGCAACTTCTCAGTGTGATCGCGCGCACACACGTTAGGGTGCCTGAATGGTTTCCCTCGAGCGGCGGGCGAGGGAAACCATTCAGGCACCCTAACACACGTGGGCAAGTAGCGGCCTCCCGCGGCAATCTCTGTGACGAGCGAGTGCGCCTTGTTTAAATCAGCCAATGGCTGATGGATGGGTCGTTGACGTGCGATCTTTGAACAACGAAGTGTCGGTGTGGCAGAATGCCGAATGTTTGAGTGCCATAGTTTTTTGTGAATAATTTTCATTTCGCTGGTGAAGCGCGGTCTCTTGCTGGTGTGCCATGGAGGTAGAGCCCTACGGAAGACTACCGGACAGCGGAATGACCACCGGTGTTGCTTCCAGGAAGCGCTACAGCTCCGAGAGCGGCACCGACAGTGATAGCACCGAACCCTACTACGTCAGCAGTGATGAATCAGGGCACGACAACTTCAATCTTGAGAGAAACCACAAGGGAAAGAGACGATTCACCCGATTTGAGTGAGCCCACCATGTGATCTTCGCGGAATACCGAGGTATTAACCATCCCTTTCATGCCAGTTTCCGCTAGTGACAACACGAGACGCCTTAACCGGAAAGTTGTGCCTGAACAGCTAGAGGCACTGGTGCCGAATATACTCCACGTATACTAAATTTGGTATAACGTGACGTGAATAGATGACGAAGGTAAACGACACATCTAAACATGGTAATCATGACACGTAAGTCATGTACGGCATCATTTACCTCAACCTCGTAACATTGTGCTGATCTTAAAGTGACATATCAACCTTCCTCAGTCATGCTTCGCATATCATTGATTCCCACTGTACGTGGGATCCGCCAATTTTTTAATTGTTTTGAAATTATACTTATGATGACGCTCGCGCTTGAAGCCACTTTGCGAGGATATGATCATAACAATCAAGCAGACTGTGTTGTTCGTAAGTCTCAAGGCACTCCAGACACCTTCCAGCACGCGATTACGAGTGATCCGCAATTCCGTACAGATCAGCATATTAAACGTAATTGCCATACAGCTCCTTAGGGTATATTCGCTTGCCTTCAAATATGTCATCATGTGTCCCCTCAATAATATGCGTTCTTTTTTTATGTCTAAAGGGTACCGGCAAGAAATTTTAAACCGTCGTATCGTTCTTCCTAATAAAAGTACTGTTGCCAAGAGCACTAGAAACTGTGCCGTGCTTGAATGAGCTTTCAGAGGGGCGTTATTATCGTGTAAACACAGATGTTCAGTGCCATCTAGGCATTTACTACACAGTGCGGTCGTAAACCGTAATCCGAAAAGTACACCATTGTCGCGAAAGATCGTCAGCAGCTCACAAGCGCAATCATCGAGGCTGATCAAATGCAACTGCTAGGTGATCTCCGTATTATGACGCCTTCCATTGCGCTCACTAAAAAAAATCACGTATCTGGATGTGATGCAATGGGTGGTGTGTTTGTGCTGAGATGTGCCGTTGTTAGCCTGTATATATATGTTTTTTTCTAGCGTTGTTGCTAATAAAATTTAGTTGAAGTGAGAGCACGCGTTCTGTCCTCTCCTATGTCTTCGTTCTTTGTTTATGTTTTATCCCGGGGTCCACCACGGCTCCGCTGACATATTTACGTCACGGATATGACGTTGTAAAATGTCTACTATGAGAGAGCAAAAAAAAAAAGTGGTTCGAATCTACATGTTACACTGTAAATGTCGTCGAAAGACGATAGCCTTGCGCCTGGAGAGAGTGAACAAAACGTTTATTTGATGTTCTGCGCAAGAAAATCGGTGAATGTATTCTGCAGGCGCTGCGTTACAGTGCCTCGAGCGTGTGGCGGAGGCGAACGAGCGCATCTAGGCACGTTAGACACAAGTGCCATCTGGCAGTTATCTTCGAAAACGAAGGCGTGCAGCCCGCGTAGAAAGATGCGTGCCAGTCAAAGAGGTGATAAGGTGTAGAACACAAAGTGACGGGCAGGTGCCATTACCGTGACGTCGTATAGCAAAGCGTTGGAAACACCTTTTTGAACACCGCGTTGCACTGTCAGCGCAGCGCGATTAAACGCTACATTCCTTAGAGTTACTTGTGTGTGCCTCTTCTAGTATAAAGGCAGACATGGAAAACATCGAAGCGTTGTTGTGGCGCCTCAGATATGCGCAATAATTACTTTTTAATTGACAATCGCACAACTATGAACGTTAAACCTTGAGCAATATTGGTGGGCGCTGCGGATGGGGCTGGCCGTTTAATGCCATTTGAGGTATCGTTAGAACGGACAGACAGACAAATGTACAGAGAGACAGACAGACCAAAATTTTTTCGTCGAAGGTCCCTAAGAAAGTCTATCGTCTTTCAAAAATTTACAAAGAAAGGTTTCTTTGCGGGGCATCGAACCAGTGACCATCCGCTCCTCAGCGCGCGACGCTATATCCACCGCGCCACAAAACAAAATTGCTGAACTTGTTAACGGTGAGCCATTTATAGACACCATGTACCGTTGGCGATCCTCAGAGCTCAGCAACTTCAGAGCGTTTTCGTTATCAGCAGCAAGATGGCGCGAGGTGTGCGAGTTGGGCGGGCGCGTTCTAAAGGTCGTCACCTTGCTCCACCCCGCACGTTTCAATGCGTGCACGCCTCCACATGATGTGGTCAAAGTCCGTATAGCTATTTTCTGGCGTGATCGCTTGCGTGCTTATCTCGGGACTCGGGCGTTTAGAACATCTAGTGCTTGCGCCGCAAGTTTACTTTGAAGTTATAGTGGTTAGAGAGAGCCCAAAGGTCACTTCACTCGATTCCGCGGCTGCGTTTCCGAAAGGAGCGCGCTGTTCACACACGAAGAAGCAAAAATAATTGCGATGATTGTTCGCGCTCGTCCTGCGTATACTTGTGCGTTTCCTTGGCGCGTCTGTTTGAGCAGCGTCCTTTAAGTGTCGAGGTGCGACAGTTGTTTATCCGCCCTCATCCTGTGCATGCTCCTTTCGACGTGCTTTCTGCTTGAGGTGTTCATTGCAAGTTTCGAGCTGCTTGTCGTTCTTCTCGTGGCACACATTGCAATTTGTTGCTATAGCATTCATTCCTTCTGTCTAGTGGCGAAGCAGAGCCCAACACATGCTCAACTACCTCTGTGAAGACACGTTTTCATGCTATACCGATTCCTAAAGAGAGGAATCAGCCGCGTCTTCTTTTTTATGCCCTGTAAAAATATGTCGGGTTCATTAAAGCCGTTCGCATAGGCCTCCCAAGCCTTTGACACACGTGTCTTGTTCTCGCATCGGCATTGCAGCGGATGTTATTAAGTGCAAGGTTCGCGATCTCGTGTAGACGTCATGACGCCTTGAGCCCACCGTCAACTCTGCTTGTTCAAGACGTCAGAATTGTCTAGCTGGCTTCCAACAAGAAAATGCCTTAACAGTACAACCCTCACCAGGACGATCATCGACCTGTATAAGATGTTTTTTCGGTTAAAAGTTCAGCTGCTTGCATTTCACTTGTTCTTTGGCGGAAGATCGTTCGGAGAGACTAAAGCTGAAGCTTGATTTGTACACCTCCGGAATCTGTAGGCGGACTAGAGGAGCCACGACGGCGAACGAGACTGCCATATTTCGTAAACAGACTCTGCTTTCCGTCTGCATCGGAGACGGAACGCCGTAATCTATGTCATCGGCCTCACTGCCACAGTGCGGATGCAAGACAGGGAGCCGAAGAAAGAAAGAAAAAAAGGAGGTTAGTCTAGGTTTTTCGTTACAAAGCGAGATTGAATCGTGTACCCTCGGTTGTCGTGCAAGTGTCAAAACACGTGTGCAGCGATAAAACAGCAAGGACTGTTTGCGACTATATATATACAAACCGTACTGCCCCGCGAGGACCCCATCGTTCCAACCACACGCAAGAAAACAGCTAAGCTCGGTGAGTGTTTGTCACCATTGCCCTTGGCAAAATACCTTTGTGCGCTTGCCGCAACTTCATCTGACACTGCACGTTCACATGCACGTTACGTCACTTGTTTTTGTTTTAGGGGCGAAGCTCCTTAAAGCGGCACCCGTTCTTCCCTCGTAGTACTCGTAGTAGTGGTGGTAGTGTGTAACCAGCCTTACATTTTGACCTCCAAGGTGGTGCAAGTGGGAGATTTCTTCTGTGCGTTGTTGAACAATACAAAATTCGCAGCGTGCGCGTTAACTAAAAATTGAATTTTCCTGTCTCTCATTCCCCATTAGCAGCCATTGGCATGTACATTCAGCCCTATCCGACAAGAAAGGGCTGCTACGTTATACTCTCTGGGTGTAACCTTCTTGATTTTAGAAAGGTTTAGCGAGCGTTGGGCCACAGTGCCATGAATACAGTGACCTACTATATACACCATGAACTCGAGGTGGTTAAAGGTGGGAAGTAGACACGAAGCGCAAGCCGTAAGAAAGTGTGCGTGTGCCTCCCCTAGTTTAGTCCTTGGAATGTCCGCTGGATGACGGTGCTTCTACATGAGGAATATATAATGAAAAGATGCGAGATGGTATAGTACTTGGAGTGTTGAATAGGTGGATGAACGGACACACAGACAGATGCATAGACGGACGCAAGGATGGACGCATAAACGGACGCAGGAGCGGATGCATGGACGAACGCAGGGACGGACGCGCAGGTGGACGTGCGGACGCACGAACAGACGCACGCACGGACAGGCGGATGGACGCACGGGCAACCACACAGACGCACGCATGGATGGACGGAAGCAAGAACGAATGGACGGACGGATGCTTCGCCCCACTCTCCATCATTCACTCCGTGGATATGCTGCCATTTTTTTTCTCTCATTTGGAAGAGGGCGTATTCGTGACTTTGTCAGCGCTCTACAATCTCGATCTCAAAACAGCAACAGTCAAATACAGGGTGAACCTTTCATAATTTATCTATTTTTTTATATAGGTTGTAGTTTTGTCACATATTTTCCGATTTTAAAGCGGTTTGCTGCAACACATTCACGAAGGGTGAATATTTAATGGCTAGTTTCTATTTTTGATGTGTAACGACGAAAAACATTCGACCCGAGTCTGCTTAATACAAATTTGTGAAAGGCAAGACTCACTGTGCTCGCCATAAGCCTATTTAGATGCAATGCAAGACATAAGCCTATTTAGATGCAATGCAAGACAAAAGCCTCTATTGGTAATGTTTCACCACCGCGCTGTTACACGTCGGCCGACTCACTCAGCTGTCGTTGAGCAACATTACCACAAAACATTTTTTTTTGTTTTATGCTTTTTCTCCAAGTACGCACACCCATTGTGTTATTCTGCAAGACTATACTGTTGAGAGCACCGGCGTCGTCACGTCATTCAAAAGAGAACCAAAATCAACCGTATTTTCTTAAGAACGCGGACCTACGACATCTACGGCAGTGCGAGAGTGCGTGTCTGTTATAGAAGCGAAGTTCCTCAGGACCTCACAATGTCCATCCGGTTTCAATCTGTCCGCGTGCCGTGCACAGTTGAAGCGCAGGTGCAAAACATCAGTGCGCAGAACCATCTACAGGGCGCACATGTGGTTTAAAAATAGACCACCCGTCCACCTGTCCGTGCATTCATGCGTCCGTCCGTGCATCGTGCGTCCATGTGTCTGTCCTTTGTCGGCGACTTATGAACCGTAGGACCTAGCTTCGCTCCAGCATCCACTATTTTTTATATAAGGCTATTGCCCATCAGGCGAGTCTAAACCGATCAGTTATCAATGTCAGGCATCCGTGCGATTGATAGTGTATTCACATTAAACTTTTTTTTTCTACCGGGCATGCGCAGACCTCTTGTTGCTCAAGATGAAGACAGCCAGTTCGCTGGTTTTGATTACCTTGGCAGTCACGTGGTAAGCCAATTAAAAACACTTCATCTTTACTGAAATTCATAAGCATATTACACCACGATCATGGCCCTCTTTCCCTATACAGTTTCTGTTTTGCGCTAAGTTGCCAAAATGTTTAGAGGTTACCTAGAATATCATATACTGCAATCTATAAGATATAATTTGCATTATAATCTTAGAATATTGTGAATGTAGGCATGGGCTCCAGCAGGGAGGTGTAAAATAAAAAAAAAGGTTGCCCCCCCCCCGCCTCCAAGCAACACCAGCGCTTTCTATTTCCCTCCCCCCGTGGTGGTAGAACACCGCTTAGCACCCCCCCCCCCCCAAAAAAAAAAAAAAGACAATTCAACCAACGCCCGTGAGTGTAGGCCAGTTGGCGATACGCGATTACGAAAGGTAACCGCTAAGCCACACGTGACACAGAGACAAGGTGCACTGCTTCGTGATGTTTCTTTTTCTCCCCGAGTGGTTTTGTGGTTACTTTTCCTAAAGTTCAGTAACACACTCCATGCTTCCTCTTCGATTTTGATAGACCACTTGCAATGTGAGAGAGAAAAGCTTTTATTCATGCACGCCTAAAGGATCGTCCTCGTGGAGTCTTTAGCGCAGGTACCATTTGGCTTGCGCCACACCACGTGCCCGCTGGACCGATCCGTCGCGCTGCTCCTGCGGCTCTGAGCTGGTCAGTGCAGCCTTCCTGAAGGAAAGCGAGGGTGTAGGAACAGGGCGGCAGCCCGGTGGCTGTGGACATTCCCAGCTGCAGTGATACACCGAGGGCTTCGCTCCACAGTAGGGGCAGCATGAGGGATATTGTGTTAGGTGCAAGAGATGAAGGATGTAAAGGCAGGGGAATGAATTATTCCGAAGCTGCCACCATGGAACCACGTCCTTGGTGGCGGGAACTACAGTACCGTCCACTGTTAAAAGGAACACTCTAATGAGTACCTGTCTTACTGAATGCCCTATAAATTCTGGTAGACTTAGAAAAATTGTTCGTTCAGGACACTGGTCTATCAAAAGAAGTCACTACATGTCAATCACAAGTAGCCTGATGCAAATATAAGCCACTATGCTTTTGCCAGAAAGCGACATTGTGAACACGAAAGTGTTCCCTTTAACGGTCAACCCCTCTGTACATACGGCTCTGTCGGTAACACTGTAGCGTGTGGCTTAGTGGTTCTGTTGGTAAATCATCTGGGTCGGACATGTAGCTCTTCCGATGGAGCCCGGTTTGTGAGCTCTCTAGCTACAGCATTGAAAACGTTGTAAAATGTGGTCGTCATGATGTGCAGTGTCGTGTGCACGTCGCCTCCAAACTGCGCTAACGTCGACTGCGCCGCTGTCACGTGCAACGCCGTCAATTGCAAGTGTGGCACCTACAAGGACGCCTGCGGGTGCTGCGACGTCTGTTACAAGGTACGTGGACGAAATGCGATGTACTTCGGATAAAGTTTGTTCTCCATTTGTTTTATTGCGATAGCAATTATATGGACACTCTCGGCTGGATTTTGCCGTCGACGTCGGTGTCAATGTCATGCATCGTATATATATATATATATATATATATATATATATATATATATATATATATATATATATATATATATATATATATATATATATATATATATATATATATATATATATATATATATATATATGTGTGAAAACGCAAGAAAAAAACAGAAAAAAACACTCCGGCACGCGGAATCAAACGTGGGACCTCTGCGTCGAGAAAGCGAGACGTAAACCACTGAGCCACACCGGAGCACATCTTTCGCTATTTAAACGGCAAGCTACTTAAATCTACCACTCACTGCTGCTCACGAGCATCTCGGGGGGGGGGGGGGATTGTGTGTTCAGCATTACCGGCAAGATGGCGCCATGAGCACGCGTCACCTAAAGTCCCTGGTGACGCTAAAGTCCCTCTATAACGTCGAGAATGCCTTGAGTGTTCTATTAGTATCTTTAACGATCAACTTATGTAAGTGTTAAATGCACACACGTGAGACCAGGGAAGGACACAGCACAAGCACTTATTCTATCAGGCCTTGCTTCTCTCGCTTTGACTTCTCTCTTGTGGATTTTTGTTGATACGTGGTATTTATTTCATGGCGTATGAGCAATAAAACTTGAGTTGTTAGTCAGCGCCTGTGTCTCTTTCTTACCGTTATCGCCTCGGTGTAAGACCACCTAGTTCCACACTTTTTTTTTTTTCAATTTCTTCTTCCTCTATGCTTCAAACGTATACACGTTCCAGCGAAGCATGTGCATCGTCCTTAATTCATGTTCCGCCAGCAAAACAGTTCCGTTCATTCATTTTTTATTTCCACTGTAAAAATTTTAAAAATATTTATACAATGATATGTGACAAGACAAGAGCTATTCAAGACAGATTAAGGAGCTCTTGGCCCCCGTTCTCTAAAATCGCGGCAGCAGGTGTGCAAAAGTAATGTGCTTGGGTTAACATTTAGGATTATAATACAAGCGAAAAAAAAAGCGAGAAATTCAATATAATGTACAGTACATAACTGCGCGTGAGCAAACTATCTCTTTCGGGCAATGCGAACTGATTACATGCTCCAGGGCACTCTTTGCGTGGTTTCTTCTAAAAAGAAAAACTAAAAGAGTTACTGAATAGGTGAAGCTATACCCGGCGACAACTTTCTGTGGCAGCACGGCCAAGGCTACGTGGGCGGAGTCTATGCACATGTGCTACTGCGCCAAGTAGTCCGACCGCTTCGATGGGTGTTTCGGTTTCGATTTCACCAGCGCAGTCCGCGTCAGCGCATTCCCACAACGGTGCCATGTGAAAATGCGGTGAATTACGATCTGCGCGCAAGCACCATCGAGCTTAATCACGCGTGAATGGCGTTCATCGAAGGCATATACACATGTATATCTATCTAATTTGCAAGAGTGATATAACTGTTCATAAAATTTATTTTATTTGCAGCAGTATTTGAAAAAAAAATTATGGATTCGGCAATAAGTACTCAATTTGATGTTCATCTCGTCCGCAAAAGACACAGGCTGTGTCTAAACGCAGCGCGACGACTTGTAATGCGATCTTTTACTGCGAAAGAATATAGCAAAGCGTAAAGCCCTCTACGAGAACAGGGTCTATTTGTAACGAATGTCGGCGCACTTTTATTGTGGGAAAAACATTAAAGGGACCGATAAGCTCAGGAGAGGGTGGATTGCAAATCGTTGGGAGAGGCCTTCGTCCTGCAGTGGACTTAAACAGGCTGATGATGATGATGATGAAGCAATTTTTAAGGTGCCCGTTTTCTTTATTTCAACGGAAATATCTGTGACAGTGCCCAATCATGCAATGGAAACGGGGAAAACGCCGTGGAACATTTTTTATGAGAATTTTTTATGAGGTTAAAAGCAGGTATTCGGTTGGTATTCGGTATATTCTGGCCAGTTGTCGGTCCCTTTAAAACGACATGTGCACAGGTACAGAACACAATATTATGGTTTACATTCAATGTGTTTACATTCACGACTGTGGTTGCAATCATGTGAGGTATTCCAGTTCGCTCATATTACTGTCACTACCGTCACTCTCGGTGCTGGCCTCTGACCCGAGTGGAATTATAAGCTGGTCGAGCTTTGAGTCGATGAGGCCGTCACGTTGCCACAAGTCCTCTTCGATTTTTTTCACATGAGCACATGCCTGGAGCCAGTTGTCTGGCGTTACGCGATCGATGCTTTCACGCACCAGTTTTTCAACGCCGGCAAGGGTGAATGTTGTGTTGTTAGCAGCGACGTAACCTTTCACCTGGCTCCATATCAGTTCGATCGGGTTAAATTCGCAATGATACGGAGGAAGCCTCACGACGTCGTGACCGGCAGCCTTCGCCAAAACATCCACGCGATAGGCGGAAAACATCTTCTTGTGGTCGTTCACCAAATCCAACAGCTCAGCTTTCAATTGGTCTTGTGAAAACGCGATGTTCTTTTCTGTCAGCCACGACTGAATGTCAGCCTTTCGAGATGACGATGTTCGAGGCGGACGCTGTGGTACGGTGCGCTGTCCATTACAATGACACTGCACGGCTTGATATCGGGCAAAAGTTGTTCACCGAACCACTTCTCAAAGCGCGGCCCGTCCATTTCGGTGTGGTAGTCCCCAGATCGTTTTGCAGCTCGGAAGAGAAGGCATGCAGAATTCAGAAACCCGTCTTCACTGCCGGCGTGCAAAAGGATAAGCCTGCCACCTTTGCCGCTTGGTGCGCGAAGCCCTGTGGTCAGGCCTTGCCGAAAGGCCTCCTCCCGTGTCGTGATGTTCGCGTCTTCCCATACTTTATCCTTTGTGTGTCCGGCGTTGACCCAGGTTTCGTCAAGGTAGTATATGGGTCTGGAAGAATAAACAACAAAAATGAAGCATGTCATCTGCAGCGAAGCGCGGCGAATGCAGCGAAACTCGGCTCGTGTCACAATTATTAAAAATTGCTCGCGTTTCGGCTCGCGTTTGCTCGCGTTTCGCTGCAGGAAACGCGAGTCGCATCTTTGGGAACTCGAGAGCAATTTTTAATAATATTGTGACGTGATTTACTGACGCGTGGACCCAGGTTGCTGGGTGAATGATACATTCAATTATTCATGTAATGGTTACACAACTCATCATGCACGTACCGTTTTTGAGCGCGAAGTTGTCGGATGGTACGCAGGTACCGCCGTCGCCACGTGATGATGTCGTCTCTTTCCAAAAGCTCACAGTTTCTCTTCTGTTTGCGAAAGGAAAAGCCGATATCGTTAAGCAGCCTTTGCATCGTTCGCACGCTCATTTTAGGCATGTTCATGTCACTGTCACTGGTCACATCTTGAGCCAGTTTTGCAGCTGTTGGGAGTTCATTCCTCAGAAAGTATTGATGCACTTTTCTTCGTAGAGCTGCGAGGGAGAAGCTGTCGTGAAGCTCCAGTCTTGTCTTCCCGGTTTTCGCACGGTCATCCATGGCGGGGAGGCGCAGGCGCTTGCGCTTCGGTGACTTCAGGGTTCCACTCTTAACGTCGAGCTTAATCCGGAAGACACTGCGCTCGCTAACACCAGTGAGCTCGCTGACTTTCCGACATGCGGCTCTCAGAGAGAGCTGCGGGTCGCTTCTCCTTACTTGCGCGTAAACGTTGTACGCCACCTTCTTGGCCTGTACGGACAGCTTTTGATTTGACAACGCCTGGTACGGCTGCGCAGCTGGTGGACTCGCGGCACGCGGCGGTGTTTCCTCCGTAAGCGACGTTGACGAGCTGTAACCGGCGGACGCCATCTTTGACAGTGAGGAATGCGGTGAGGTAAAAAGGCGACGGAAGCCAAAAAACCCCCAAAAAACCTGAGAGAACATGAAACGAAATTTTTTCTACTGCGCAACGTTTTTATTCACAAATTAAAAATAAATCCGCGAAAAATGTAAGTGACAAATGGTAAAATCTTAGTTACCCAGAACAGTATACAAACGTTTTCGTTGAGGGACTACATGCTGTGGCGCAGTAAGACAAGCGTGCTTCGGCTCCGTAGCCTTGGCTGTGCTGCCACAGAAAGTTGTCGCGGGGTATATAGTTGAGACCGCGTTATGTTTGATGCATTGAAACTAGCATTTTCAATGGCACTGCACGTAATTCAGCAGTTACGCGAAGTACGTGCCCATCAACTGGCATATAGAATCACGATTTCTTCTACCCATTGCAGTGTCCCGGCGAGGTGTGCGTTCCACTCTACAATCACCGCTGCACCGAACACCACGACTGCGTGCTCGACAACTCAAACGTGCGCATCGAGTTTGGCTCCCGGGGAACGTGCAAGCACGTGCCGCAGGAGCACGACAACACCAACTGCACCGAAATACACTGACCGATCGAAGCCAGCCGCTGCACGCTAAAGCGATCACAAGAGAACGTCGGACCATACTCTGCACCAATAAACAGGACTTCATCAATGAACTGTCTCTTGGACCCTTTAACCAGCTTCACGTAACGGAGGCAGGCGATGAATTTATTACTCACGTGTACGTGAATAATAGTTTTATAGCATGCCTCTGTTGCGTGAAATATATTTGAACAACATTGGTCCGCTCGACACTGTAGTGGCACCTTGCAAATTCGTTATAGGTCATTCTGTCAGCCCGCCCAAGAGACAAAAAAAAACTGTCTGAATATTTATTTTTTTAGGCGCGAAGCTCCTTACGCCATGGGTCATGCGTCCCGTCTCGTCGTAATGGCCGGTTGTCAAAAACGGTGTCGCGGCATATCCACGGAGTGTATGATGATGAGTGGGGTGAAGCGTCCATTAGTCCATCCGTGCTTTTATTATTATGAATTCCGATGTTACTTAGCAACGGCAGCCAATGAAAAAGAAGCTTACCGCATCAACTGTCTCCAGAAAGCTAGGCTCCGAGTAGTCCGTTGCTTTGTTCATAGCAAGAACCCTGTCTTCAGCACAAATTAAGTGAAACAGAAGCATCTCAGCATCAAGTATTCACCACGAAAGTATCTTTTATAACAGTTCAGATGCGCAGGCGAACGTGCCCCCGCACCAGTCTTGTGGCCAAGGCAGCTTTCCTTTACACGCGCCTCTCGTATCATTCACTTCATGCGGTGGCATCAGATGAAGTTTGGGTATGGTGGGCAGAAATACGGATGTATGAGAAACTTTGTTAACCTTAAGGTGTACGACTAAACGTTCACAGTGTCCGAAAAAAAATTGCACATGCATGCCGCAAATATGCTAATTTTATTTCTGGCAAAACACCCTTTCAATTCAACTGTTTGGCCTTGGTTTCCACTGGTGGCCGTCTTCACTATCGCACCATTTGGTTTAGACACCAGCCCGACACCATTAAACAAGAGAGCAGAACATACTTGCCGCAACGCCGCCTCCTCTATTATCGATATTTTTAACAAAAAAAAAAACGCAGACGGATACGTCCTCCCTTTTTCTACATATTGCTGCACTTGAATACGCTGCAGTACCACCAGCGCCCTTTGGTTACGACGATGAGCGCCCGCACCGCCTCTACCGGCCGCCACTCTCGTCCGCGGGAGCGGCTGTGAAGTGCACGCTTCGACCGCCAGGGCAGCCTTGGGAACTCCAGCGCTGGTTCACCTGAAGCGGGGTGCCTATACGCCGACGATCAATTTTCGCTTTCGATTAGGCATTTAAGGCTTTCGCCTTAATACTGAGAAACTCGAAGTGGAACGGCGCAGGTCGCTTCTCGTACCAAGTATGAAAACTGACGCTGGCAAATTGCGGTGTACTTATTCAACGCCAGGCGGAATTCAGCCTGTCATTCAAATCGTATGGAAGGAATTAAACCTCACACGTGACGTTTCTGCTTAAGTCACGTGTTCCTGAGCTGTCGAGGTTGCAAATGAAATCTTTCCCAAATAGTGCACACCTACGAAGGACCGTCCAATTGGGTTTCATGGAAAGGAAGCTTTGAAGCGTTGCACCCGAAGGCAGTTAAGTGAATGTGCTCCTGTTTAGAACGCATACAATAATCAGATGCACGTGACGTCACACCAGCGGCGGTGCTGGAGCAACCGGCTAAGGCCAAGTGCCTTGACTTTGACAACACAGGAGTACGATAAAGTTTCGTTGCTCACTTCTAGGCGAGTTGTTTTTATGTAAGCTTTGTTAGGCAGCGTAATGCCTGCTCTCACCTGTATACGCTTACCTGAAACAACTGTTCCAAGAAGCCAGTCACGCCACTTAACTATACGTCATTTGAATGCAAGCAGGGCGATGGCAGGAGTGATATTGAGTGATAAAAGCATCCTTCGTGCCTTATTTCTGTAGCTGCATCGTGAAGAGACACTAAAGGCAAGTAATTTATGTCAAAGTGAAAGCAGTATGTATGGCAACGTCTAAAACGGTCATATTAACAGCAGTACCATACTTAAAAAGGAAATAAGGTAAATGTACCACACGACGGGCCCCTTGAGTGGGATATATTTTGGAAATAATCTTGACGTCCGAAAACAATCAATCACTAGTAATCAAACTAGCTGCCATAAAAAAGAACCTTCCGTGCACCAAGTAACGTAATGAAATGATGTTTGTCCGTGTGTGTCTCTTTGATTCATAAGAAAAAGTACCGACTTCTATTACTGCGGGGAATGGTGATCGAGAGTGGCTCCCAAAATTGTGTTTTCGCCTGGTTAGACTGGATAGGTTGTGCCATCTAGCGGAGCCCAGTCATACCAAGCAAGCAGAACTATGGCCTCCAAAATGGCAGAAAATTGTTCAATGGCCGCTGCTGCTGCTGTGGCTCCCACTACTTTCGCTCTGCTGCTGCTATAGTGTCGGCGGCCATGCAGTAAAGCCGGGACACGTTGTGCACGGCGACAGTGACGTGAGAAGGACCGCTTTGTGGCAGGGTATTCGAAGTGCGTTAACGCGATGTGGACCATTTAAACGTGGTTTTATTTCAAAATAAGCACTCCCTTGGCACAAAAGTAGCACTACGAGTTGTCTGGACCGCTATTTCAGCGATCGACTTAAGATTTGTCTTCGGTGTCCCTTTAACTCGTACACCATCCTTAGTTTATCGCGCGGGTCGACCAACCCAAATTTACATTCTATCGAAGCACACGTTTACTAAAGAGCAGTACGTGGAAACGGCAGTCTGAAGCTCACCCAGTATCCGCACTTGAGGTTCGCTGACAGCCCAAAGATGGCGGCTTGCAGCGCCACCCACCACAGCGACAGACACGGGGACATAGTCCACTCTCAAGGCGACCGCACTCGTTGAAGTGGCCTGTACGACCGACAGGTAATCGATGGAATTCAACAATTGAACTCCGGTCGCAATAGTACAAGTGTTTTCGGCCAGAGAAAGGCTACGAATACGCCGCCTTCATCACCGCCGCACGGACGTTCTCTCTACGTCTGGGACGAAAGAACGCGAGAGAATGACATGCGAGACTCTCTTTCCTGCCGACGGTGCCGATAGATCACGTAGCTAGGTGTATGGTGGCAAAGCGCTCAGATAGCGACTCTGCGCAGCTTTTCTAGCCTGACACGAGAACAATCGAACATGCTGTGCAGTTGTGTGATTGCGCTGTCACTATAGTAGCAGTTATAGCTGCGTTGTAGCAGTTATAGCCTGCGTCAAGCCCGCGTGACGACGAATGACTGTCGGCGCAGTTTTTCAGCTTGCTTTTGAAGCGGATGAACTCGGAAGCTTACAGATAGGTTGCGCGTGACGTCATGAACGCTGTTTTATAGCGTACTGAACATGGCAACGTTGATGACGCGAAGGCAGCATAATCGCATTACGCTTAGCGTGCTTCATTATTATAACATTGCGGCCACACTGTTATTGATTTATGTACGTAAATAACAAAAAAAGTTGGAAATGATGCAACGATAACATTAATGCAACGTCACAAATATCGCGTCCTATTATGTAGTGCATTTCCGGAGCCCTCCACTACGGCGTCTCTCATAATCATATGGTGGTTTTGGGACGTTAAACCCCACATATCAATCAATCATGTAGTGCACCAGTGTGAGCCATAAAATAAAGACAGGCTCCACCCACAAAACCGAACCATGCTTGTCACTCACATTTGAGAACCGCGCAAGCTGGTTTCCCTTCAATCCTTACCTTTATATGTGCCAATGTAAATACCACGCATTTGAAAGACCGAGGATTCGTCGTTGCTACCTAGATAAGCAGTGATGTCAGAAACTTTGATGAAATTCATTAGGACGCTCAAGTTTTCAAGAATTAAAACGAGTGACATGAGCATGTATGTATAGGCATGCCAACTATCTAAACCAAGCGGAAGCTGCTTGACGTCACAGCATTGCGCAACTGTGATGCGATGGGACAGGACAGTGGTGGTAATGACTGGTGCTTGTATTTATTCCTAGTCGTAACTAATTATGAAATATTTTCTGTGGCCTTGTGAATTAATAAGCGTAATCTACAATATTTTCCGAGAATTCCGAACACTTTATTTTACAGTGATGCACTACGCTTTCGTTAGATACTCTCTAGGCAAAGAGTTATTCCCGAAGAAAAGCAACAAGAGACTCCCTAACACGTAACTGGATTAACCACTTTCGCATTTGAAGAGTCATTACTGGAAACTGCTGTGAGTTTTTATCAGGGCAGTCGAACCTACGACATCTGGATTATAAGTTTACAACTATCGTACGCTTGCTAAAATATTTCAAGAACACTGAACACCCAGTTGCGCATCAGACACACATGCAAGCGCGTTTTTTTTTTTTCATGAGACCACGCGTGAATAAACTAAACGCGAGAATTTTACGTGTTAATTTATATTGCTTTCCCGCGACTACGACATCAGGCTCAGTAGAGCGAGGAAACGCCAGCATAAATCAGCTCGATCAGAATGAACAGCATAAATCAAAATACACAATACACAATAGCCGCAGTATTCAAACTTCGCTCGATTATCCTACTATCTCAGTATTGTGTAGCTTCGCCAGTATTCAATTAAGCCTTTTTGCGGTGCTTTGGCACAAGCATTAAATTCAATGACCCAAATTGGTTTGAAAAGCGCACGCGTCAAAGCAACGCAAGAGCTAATTGTGATGTCCTCTAGACGACACTACCTAACAGTAATCACTTATTTTTTATTTAATTTGTTTACCTTAGTAATACCCATGACAAACATATTTCAGTATATTTCGTGATATAAAAGTTCAAATGAAGTTAATGAACAACATATAAAAGAGAGCAAACATGTGGTCGATGTCTCAGGGCAACGCCGTCTCTAGAAAGATGCCTGCGATTTGAGCAGAAAAGCTGGATCCCGGTCCTCTCCTGTTTTTCCTCCTCTACTCCCACAGACATTTTTACGGTCGTTGATGAACGTACACTGCAAGCGATTCCTTTCTTGCAGGGTATCGGAGTGAACTGATCTCCGCACCCTCAGATAAACGTGGTGAGTGACGCCATGTAGGT